TGTCTTGTCAATGACATAATAATATCTTATGATCTTATTTCTAGAGAAGAAGTTCAGGAGCATACGGTCAGATGGAATGCCAAGTTCGAGTTCTGTTGTAAAATGAGTGCGAATGCGTCAACCGGTGTTCTAGATCCATGCATCTTAAGGATATCAGTGAGGAAGGTAAGTTATTGAAGGAAGAGATCATTGAAAGTTCAGGATCTGTTGATTAGATGGTGGGGGTGTTTTTTATTTTATATATATATATATATATATATATATATATATATATATATAAAGCGTGCATATTTTGATCCCGTAGGAATTGAAGGGAGGCAGGTCCTTCCAGAGGCTAGGTTTTACCGATCTGAACCTCGCCGAATTCGCAGGAGCTGGTCTCTGTCGAAGGAGGTGTCTCCTTGAAGGCTATGACGCGAGACATCGCCAGGATAATTCTATGCTCAAAGTAGCTATTAAGATGAACATACGTTCCGGAGATATACTCTTCAAAGTGTGAGTGTCATACTCGTTTATAATGTCAACATATTTTGTAATTTCTTTTTATCTTCTTCTCTCTCTCTTTTTTTTTTTTTTTTTTTTTTTTTTTTTTTTTTTTTTTTTTTTTTTTTTTTAATCTCTTTTCTTTTTTCTTTCCTTTTCTTTTCTTTCTCCCCCTTAACATCCGCGATCTCGATCATTTTTTAATGGACAATGGTTTTATCGTTATTACTGTTGCAGACCTTCGCCGTCGTTAAAACAGACTCAACTAGCAGTTCCTGGTGTCCCTGGAGTACCAGGAGTTACAGCCGACGAGGTGACCGTTGAAAGATGTAGCAACCGAGAAGATTATGTGTCTAGTGGCTCATTGGCCGGTAGTATTGCTAGCGCAAGCAGTGGTTTCGGTAGTCTTCCGAAGAAAAGGCCAGCACTTTTCTCATCCGGTAAATATAACGTAATTTTTGTCTTTTCTCTTTTCCTATTTTTTTTTTTTTTCTATTTTTTTCTTTCTTTTTTTTTCTATTTTTTTTTTTTACATTTCTGATCGACAAAAAGAGATGTTAGAAAAAAGAAAAAGAAAGAAAGAAAGGAAAAAGAAAAGTAAAAGAACAAACAAGAGAAGAGATTCAAAGTTCAGAGAGAAAGAGAAAGAGAGAGAGAGAGAGAGAGAGAGAGAGAGAGAGAGAGAGAGAGAGAGAGAGAGAAAAGGATTATTATTATTATTATTATTATTATTATGATTATGATTATTATCATTATCGTTGAGACAATCGTATTAAAAGTGATATTTCTGATAGCGTCTATTTTTTTTTTCTCTCTCGTTGATCCCTTTTTAGAACTACTCAGTGGGACGGAAACGTACGATCCCATGACCCTAAGTGAGATCGTACCTTCGGCTCTTCCGGTGGTTGAGGCATTGACAGAAGGGCACACAGAATCAGGCCATTCGAGGAATAGCAGCAATACCAGTCAACTGAGCAAAGGATCGGGATATGGATCTCTTAACTCGCACAGTCAGCATAGTAGACAGAGCAGTAGTGGTGACAGTGGGCATATTAGGTAAAACAAAAAAAGATAAATAAATAAATAAATAAATAAATAAATAAATAATTAAATAAATAAATAAATGAATAAAATAAAAAAGAAAGAAAAAGAAAATGAGAAATACGAACGAAAAAGTATAATAATGTATAAGGAAATAGAAAAAGAAGAAAAAAAAAGAAAGAAAAAAAGAAAGAGAAAAGAAAGGGGGAAAAAAGAGAAAGGGTAAAATTTTTATTCTTATGAAAAAAAAAAAGAAAAAAAAATAGAAAGAGAGAGAGAGAGAGAGAGAAAAAGATAGAACTAAAAAGTACAAAGCAACATTCTCATTGATTATCAAATTTAATATGAATTATCGATCGACTATTATTATTAACATTTTTTGCTTCGATCGAATTATTCGATAATAACATACATACGTGAATAACATCTATACGTAAAAATTCGCCTTATTATTTTTAATAAGATTTAACACATAAGCATTAAGCGCATGGCGGATGGATAAGGGAAAAGGGGGAGTTTGGATGTTCTTCGCAAGAAATTTAGAGAAGAAAAAGAAAAGAAAAAAAAAACACAAATCAAAAAAAGAAAGTATTCAATGTGCCACACGATCTAACGCATTGCCTGCTAGATAACACGGTATCATATATATATATATATATAAATTTATTTCGTTTTTCTTTTTTTTTTTTTTCTTCTTCCCTCTTAATTTTTTTCTTTCTTCTTTTTTATTTTTCTATTTTCTTTTCTTTTTTGTATACACACAGAAACAAACACATTCACACACAAACACAAACATTTCTTCCTTTCTTTCTTTCTTTTTTTTTCTTTTTTTCTTTTTTTTTTTTTCTTTTTTTTTCAACGCGAGCATATAAAAAATTTAATGCTAAACATTTCTCATTAACAAACTAATCTCAAGTGGGCTGCGATTAGATTTAAAATAACTCATCTACTATTCTAATTAATCCCTTAAAAGGCTTTATCGATGATATTATTGAGCTATCATTGCTACGATACGATTCACCAAGATTAATTATAATATAATTATTTAAAGGCATGCAAGAGGATATATATATTATATATTATATATTATATATTATATATTATATATTATATATTATATATTATATATTATATATTATATATTATATATTATATATTATATATTATATATTATATATTATATATTATATATATATATATCATCAACACGTTCATATATTCGTACGCTTAATTACAGAATAATTCAAAACAAATACGAATCTCTAATCGGAATCGAGGAACCAAGGAAGATCGTGCCTTCTAAGCACTTTTATTTTCACATATATGCATATATATTATATATTATATATTATATATTATATATTATATATTATATATTATATATTATATATTATATATTATATATTATATATTATATATTATATATTATATATATATATTTATATATATATATATATATATATATATATATATATATATTTAATTTTTTCTAATCACTTTTATTCTTCTTATTCTCCTCCTCCTTCTTCTTCTTCTTCTTCTTCGTGTTAATAAGACTCTGAAGACTGTATATATATATATATAAAAGTCTTTTATTTGTTTTTTTTTTCTTGTGTTTTTTTTTTTTTTTTAATTAATTATTATCTCTCACTTTTAATTTTTTCTTTAACTTCACTTTTCATATGATATTTTTCTTCTATCTCGCCGACGTTTAATTTAACTATATCTTAAATATGAGTTATATGATTTATGCATGCTTGAAGAAGAAAGAAAAGAACGAACGAAAAAAGGAAAAAAAGAAAAAAAACAACAAAAGAAAAAAAAAACAAAAAAGAAAAAAGGAGAAAAAAGGAGAAAAAAAATTTTGTGTTGTGATCTTTATAGGTCACCCTCCTGGCCGGTATGGGCACCACGTATCCCGAATCATTCCCAAAATCCTTGTAATTTTCCAAATGCACGGCCTGAAACGTCCTTCGAACCAAGGTCACCGTCACCAACGTCGTCAATGATGCTCGTTGATCCAAGAGCCAGATTTTGGTCCACTTCTAGTCCTATTTCCTCTCGGATCATGAGAAACGGTACGGGAAATCGTAGGAATACAACAACAACTACAAAGTCGATGACGATGATGCCCGAGACAACAAAGACAATAACTATTACAACTAAGACAAGAGAAACTGATAATGTTGAGGCTGCTGTCAATCCTAATGTTTATTTTCCTAATTTGGATTTAACGGAATCATCATCAGAAAGAAACGGTGTTATTAGAAATCGTACGAGTAGTTCCATTTTATCGAACGATCATTACGAAGAGAATCGAACTACTGGATCGACTACTACTACCGGTGTATTTAGGGTACCAGGACCTAACGACGTGCCGCGACACTTGAGAAAAAATTACGAAAGAAATAGTTTCGAGGCACGTAACGAACGTAATAGTTTATCTAACTTAGGACAATACAAAAGGAACGAACAACAAATTATAAGTCAGGTGATCGTACCAAATACAAAACCGAGAATTGGTCAGCCCGGTTGGCGTGGTATATCGAAAACCTGTGATTGCATTGAAAAGGGACAAACTAGTCCAGTATTACGATTGGTAGATCAGGCCAGGGCCGTATCCTCTCCCGATCCTCTCCATAGGCCTGATAATCCTAGAGCATCCCTACGTTCCGCGACGACGGCTCAAACCCTCAGGTAGGTTTTTCTCGTTCATCATTTCGATCAGTTTCTTTCCTTTTATTTTCTTTATTTATATATTTGTTCTCTTTTTTTTTTTTATTTATTTTTTATTTTTTATTTATTTTTTTATTTTTTTTTTTCGAACTATTTCTATTCTATCTATCATTCTTTCATTCTATCTCTTCTCTCTCTTTCTTTCTCTCTCTCTCTCTTTCTCTTTATCTTCATCATTCATCATTTATCATTATCATTATTATCATCATCATCGAGCAACCCTTTCGAGACGATTCTATAAACAGATCGAACATTTCACGTTCCTCTGAGGTTGGCTTTTTTTTTTTTTTTTGTTCTCCCATTTCGACGTTCATACGATTGAGGTCAGAGATTTTAAATATAATTCACGTTCGTTGGATCAGGATGTAAAAGAATTGTTCGACATATTTAAAATGCGATAATATAATATATTAGAAGGATTTGTAAAAATTGCATGTTACGATATTGGAGATGAATCGAATGATTAAGGGATCCGATCAGCTGCTTTTCCTTTGTCCTCGCTCTTGCTTGAATTTTATTATTTTTTTTTTCTTTTTTTTATTCTCCTCCTCCCCCTATTTCTCCCGTTTATCTAATCCCGTTCCGATACATATACGCGCATTATCCTTCGGGTTATTGGTTTATTTTTGATAAGGATGATAAACGTGTGGTAGTACGTTGACTAACATTTAATCAAACTGTAGTGATCCACAGCTGGGAAGCTTTTTCATAGACGTAGAGAGAGAAAGAGAGAGAGAGAGAGAGAGAGAGAGGGAGGGAGAGAGAGAGAGAGAGAGAGGGAGAGAGAGAGAGAGAGAGAGAGAGAGAGAGAGAGAGAGAGAGAGAGAGAGAAAGAGAGAGAGAGAGAGAGAGAGAGAGAGTCGTCGATAAGACCAATAAAAAAAATTCCTAAACAAAGTGATCACTCATATACCAATTCATTTGGGTATATATATGTATATGTATATGTATATGTATATGTATATATATTATATATATGTATATGTATAATATATATATATTAATCTTATCTTATCAAGCAGACATTACGAAAATCGTCTAATTATAGGAAGAACATCCTGCTCGTGGTCTATCGTTTCCACATGATCCAACGATGTAAGATCGAGCTCGATAATCATATATTTCACTTGCTTTGAAATACAAGTATAGCTCGTTTGCGCATACGTCATAAGTCAATGTTTAATCATTATCATTATCGTGCTAGCAAGGAATACAACAATAACAACAATCACAATCATTACAACAACAACAACAACAACAACAACAACAACAACAATAACACTCTACAACCACAACAAGATTATTGGGTTAGGTGACAAGTATGCTTGAAAAGTATTGCTAAAAGAAGAAGAAGAAAAAGAAAAAAAAAAAAAATAAAGAAAAGAAAAATTAGAATAATAACGTAAAAAAGTAAAGAAAAGAAAAGAAAAGTGAAAGAACCGCGCAAGCTTTGCTTACAGTTCTGGATGGCTTTGTCAATCCTTGCAGGGGTATCGGCGGAGGTCACCGGAAGTTGCTGGACGGGGCGGGGGGCAAGCTGGCTACGGTCGCCACCAGCCCAGCGGACTCCGAGGAGTCCTCCTTAGGGGTACCGGAAGTCGCTCCACCAAGCTCGCAGCACCGAAACAGCATAACCCCACCGTCAGTCCATGCTTTCGTCTTATCTGCCTTATTTTCCTTCCTAATGTCGTCACATAATAATTATATTTATAATATTTTCTCTTGTTAATAATATCACATACCTAATCGTTCTTGCTTTTTTTGCATTGGCTTTCATTATATTTTAAATATAACGGAACAATATTTTTCTTTTTCTTTTTCTTTTTTTTTTGTTTTAAACAGTCCTAATCAATATGCTTCAAAGTTGCGTTTAAGAGTTTCAAAATTGTTTTTCGGTTGATGGAGTTTATATTTTTTTTCTTTTGATTTTTTTTTTTTTTTTATTTTTTTTTACTTTTTTTTTTGGGGGGGGGGGGAAAGAAGAGCACTAATTTTGAACGAGTACAGAAATTATGTGCTATCATATTGATCAGGACAATTTTTGGGTCGATTAGCTTTTAGAGGAATATGCCTTGGGGTCTTCACAGTTTTCGCACTTTCTCTCTTTTTTTTTTTTTTTTTTTTTTTCTTTTTTATGCTTTTATCACCACTCGATATCACAGCTTTGCAAATATTTAACAAATGCGCTCGTTATTGTCAATGTTTACTGGCATGAAAATAATCAATACGTATTTATATATCCTTGATTCGACTACCATGCACACGTCGTTTCCCTCGCATAGTTTTCTTAAAGAATTATATTTAAACACATATTATTATTATTATTATTATTATTATTATTATTATTATTATTATTATTATTATTATTATTATTATTATTATTATGTATAATGTGTATACATATTCAATCGTCTCGAATATTACGGCTGCACGATCACTGTTGTTTATTTATTTATTTTTTATTTTTTTATTTTATTTATCTCTTTTCTATTTTATATTCCTGCGATCATTCGCGTCGATATATTTCACGTACGAATATAATTATTTGATTCTCGTTAGCGATTGAAAAAAAAAAGGGAAAGAGGATAAAAGAAAAGATTTATAAAAATCAAATTAAAACAAGAATAAATGGCCAAAATAATTTCTATTCGTCGTACGTGATATACGTATACGCGAAGATCGATCGATCATTCATTTTTAATCATCGACGACTCGAAACGAACGGAGTCTCGTCAGTATGTATGTGTGTGTGTGTGTGTGTGCCTGTGTGTATGTGTATGTATGTATGTATGTATGTATGTATGTATGTATGTATGTATGTATATATGTATGTGTACGAGTATCTACACAGACATATTTGAAAAATAAACTACGAAAAAATTTTATTATTATTAACAATTATTCATTCGATTTTATTACACAGAAATCCTTCAGGAGGTTCTGGTCTAAGTGAAACTGGATCCTTGGATCGAGCAAAGGCAGCATTGGAACGACGAAAAAAGGCAGAAGATGGTACAGGAAATCCTAGCTTATGCAGGATCGAAGTCACCAGACCTAATCCAGATTCATTGATCGATGAATTGATTAAGGCAACGAATTTGGAGCAAACGGATCTCGAAAGTTCTGAGAGTAAGAACATTTATAATTAAATATATTTATTATAAGATCAAATGATTTTTTTTTTTTTTTTTTTTTTTTTTTTCTAGACGAATACATTAAAACAAATGAATTAATTTTCATCCCTATGTATTAGCCTTGAAATATATTCCATTTTATTTGTAAAATTAATAAAAGCCTAAGAGAATAATTTTTGATAAAACGTTCCTCACTAATAATATCGTCGTTAATGTTTTTTCACATAAATATATCGTACATCATGATAAATTATTTTCAATGATTAATTCTATTATATATCTATCGTCAAAATATAAGATACAATATTATTTCATATTATTATTGTTTCAATTTATTTTTGCCATGGTCATTCATGAAATTGTAAATATTAAATATAAATGGACGAAATCTCATGAGATATATCATTTCATCAATTTTATCAAGGTTCTTTTAATTTTAATCCTTTCTTTTTTTTTTTTTTTTTTTTTTTTCTTTTTTCTTTCTTTTTTTTTAGCAACCGGTTTACAGTTGTTCATCGCAAAGGATGGAACAACAGCATTGGGTAGTCACGAGGTGAAGAGTCAAATGCCTGCCGGTGTGTTCAAGCAGGTGGTGATGGAAGAAAACAATAGGTAACACCAAGCCATCACATCAAGGCGGCAATACGCTAGGCAGGCCAGCACAACGTTCTCATTGGCCTTGGTGCCTGAACTCATCTACGAGGCTTACGAGCCACGGTAGTCATGATGGAGAACGACTTGTTTGTTGGGTCGAATATAAGAAGAAGAAAAGAAAAGAAAAAACAAAAAAAAGAAAAAAGATGATGAAGAGAAAGAAGACGAAGAAGAAGAAGAAGAAGAAGAGGATCATCGTCGTAATGGTGTGTCTGATAAAAAAAATGATCAGACTATGAAAAACGACAACTTCCATCTAGCGAGAGAGAGAGAAAGAGAAAGAGAAAGAGAGAGAGAGAGAGAGAGAGGGAGAAGGGTAGGGGAGGAAGGATAAGAAAGATATTTCTCTTTAATTTTTGTTGTCTACTGTCATCTATGAACGAAAAAAAAAAAAAAAGAACAAAAACGAGTTTTAACTACAGTATTTCTTATAATATGTGTATGTACATATGTTTATGTATATGTATGTGTATATATATATATATGTGTACATGTATACATACACACATATCTTTTCGTACACATGATTTTGTACGTAACAATTATTTCGTTTACAATTATTTATAATGCTGTAAAGAAAAAAAAAAAGAAACATGAAGATGTAAGGTTTATTATTATTATTATTATTATTATTATTATTATTATTATTATTATTATTAATTTTTATTTTTATTTTTATTAATATTAATATTATTATTATTGTTATTATTAAGACGATGACACTTTCTTGCAAGATGGAAGGAGCTTATGAGCATTACGAAAAGAGATAAATCGAAGGAGAGAAAGAAAAAGAGAGAGAGAGAAAGAAAGAGAGACGTGTATTACGGAAAAAAAAGAAAAAAAAAAGAAAAATGAATGAATGAAAAACAATAATTCAAAGTATACACATATTTTCTTCCGTGAAACTGAAGCACAATTGATATATTATTATTATAATAATAATTATTATTATTATTATTATTACTATTATTATTATTATTATTATTATTATTATTATTATTATTATTATTATTATTATTACTATTATTATTATTATTATTATTATTATTATTATTATTATTATTATTATTATTACTATTACTATTACTATTACTATTACTATTATTATTACTAATATTATTATTATTATTATAATCGACCGTGCTTCATGTGCGAATGGAGCTTTAGTCAATACAATTTTTAGACGAGAGACTATAATGTCGTGATAATAAATCAGCATATTAGTTTTAAGGAAAATTATGGAAAACTCAAAAACATGGGCGGGTAGTATATATGTATATGTATATGTATGTACAACAATGATTTGATTGGTAATACTAAACAATGTCCAACAAAACTTTCGACAAATGTTTATTATTATTATTATTATTATTATTATTATTATTATTATTATTATTATTATTAACTATTATTATTGTTATTGTTGTTGTTGAATACTGTAATGCGGACTAAAATTTTGATGATTAACAAGTGGTCATTGTACAAAATAGAGAAACGAAACAAAAAAGAATAAGTTTGCGATCAAAAAAATATATTTTTTTATTTCTTTTTTCTTATATAAGAACGTAACAAGATAAGATTATTTGTTTTATATTTTCTTCAACACGCAATGTGTGCGTGCGTGTGTGTATGTATCTGTATGCGTTTGTATGTGTGTGTATGTGTGTGTGTATGATATCCTCACGCACGAAGAGTATTATTTAATTTAATTTAATTTTAATTTTAATTTTAATTTTAATTTTAATTTTAATTAATTTTAATTAATTTAATTTAATTTAATTTAATTTAATTTAATTTTATTTAATTTTATCCAAATTTATTTTAATTAATTTGTTTTTCTTTTCCTTCGAGCTTTACTAATCGTTCTAATCATTTTTATTTTTGTTAACTTCTATTCCGCCTTACAGTATATCACTCGACCTTTTCTTATCATCATTATTGTCTCATGTACGATTTTATTTTTATTCTTTGATAACTTCTCAAAACAAATCATTATGGGAATAATATGTGAAAATATTGTAATAATAATTTTTAAATGTCATTTTGAAAGCAGAAATGAAAATAAGAAACAAAAAACAAAAAACTAAAGAAAAAAAATGGAAAAGAAAAGAGAGAGAGAAGAAAAAAATTTCCTTGAAAAGAATCGGTGAACATTGAAGAAAGGACGAGATAAAAAATAAAAATAAAAAAAAAAAAAATAAAAAATGACAGAAAAGAACGAAAGAATGAAAGAACCAATGATACCTCTCGTTGTTCATCGGACATTTTCTTTGCTGAGAAAGAAAAGAAAGAAAAGAAAAAAAAAGAAATAAAAAAAAAAGAAAAGATTGTCCGTTTAGAGAGAAATCCCTTTTCGTCCGGTTTAATTTGATAACCGGCAGCTCTGATTCGTTTTAGCAAACTTGTACATATAATATATAGTAATTGTTACATAGCTAAATGGCTGGTGTTATATACAACAACATACGTTCTCTCCGTACTCGCAAACACACATACACACACACACACACACACACACACACATACACACAAAATATAATAATCTATAAGTGATACGATGTCCTTTTCAACAAAAAGAAAAAAAAAAAAAAAAAAAAGAAAAAAAAAGAAAAAAAAGAAAAAAAAAATATGAAAAAAAAAAATGAAAAAAAAAGACGAGGACACAAGCGCTGTTTCGTGGTTTCGAATGAAAGTTGAAGAAGAAGAGATAGATAAGAATTAAATAAAAAGGTAAAACAGAAAAAAAAATAAATAAATACAAAAATAAAAACAAGATGAAGATGATGATGATGATGATGATGATGATGATGATGATGATGATGATGATGATGAAAATAACGAGAAATGAAATTCATTAGGCGTATATACGTGTACATATATACATATATATATATATATATATATATATATATATATATATATATATATATATATATATATAATAAAATATAAAAATTGCAAATATTAAGTCGGATACGTAAAATAATACTTCGATGATCTATAGTTGATCATTATGAAGTATCAAAGGTGATTGATAACTTGTCGCTTCGTAAATTTGAAAGTATACATATTATGTAGTTGGAAAAGAAAAGGAACATGATATTTTGTCGGTTTTGATGAGAAAAAAATTACGAAAGAAAAGAAGCAAAAAAGAAGAGAGAGAAAGAGAGAGAGAGAGAGAGAAAAGAAATAATAAAAGAAAAAAAAAAACAAAATAATAAAAAACGAGCGATCAAGAAATCGATCGGTGAAATTCGTGCGTACAAAGACAGACTAAAAATTTAAGTAAAAAAAAAAAAAAAAAGAAAAAAAAAGGAAAAAAAGGAAAAAAAAAGAAATAAGTAAATAAATAAATAAGAAAAAAAAAATGGATAAAAAATAAATCAAGACGAGCGTTAGCTGATGACGATAATGATCGTGATGATCATGATTATGATGGTGATGGTGATATTGATAATAATGAGGATGATGATAATGATGATAATGATGATGATGTTACACTCGCGCTTTATCACGCTTTTCTATTGGTATAACGATTTATCTGTTACTGTAATTTTCTTTTTTTTTTTTTTTTTGACGCCCCTTTTCGTCTCTCGTCTATCTTTTCTAACTTTATACATATATATGTATATATATATATATACATGCATATTTATATATATTTCTTCGTTTGTATTTATATCTCAATACTCGAACACGCCTCCGAATAATATCTTCTTGAATTTCTTGATGCGATTATTGCGTTTGAAAATGGAGAAATAAAAATAAAAATAAATATAAAAACAAAAAACCATGAAATAAAATTTGACTCGATTGCGGCAATATAATATAAAAATATATATACATATACATATATATATATATATATATATGTATGTATGTATGTATGTATGTATGTATATGTGTATGTATGTGTATATATATATGATACAATACAAGATGTATAATCAAATTGAAACGTTCCTAGATATTTGTTTTCTATATTATTTACTAATTTTTGTCATGCCGCGATCGTTATATTATAAACAAATTGATTTAATTTATTTAATAACGAGTATTCTCGAGAAACAAAAAGATAGAGAGAGAGAGAGAGAGAGAGAGAAGTATAATTAGGTTGATGTCTCTCGAGAAACGAAAGGTATTCTTCCTTGTTTTTGTCATTTTTTTTTCCTCTCTCTTTTTCTTTATAATATACGACGAGCGTGTAGAATGATATTATTATAACTAATTATAATTATAATTATTATTTTGTTCTTTATTGCTACGATGTACCGAGATTTAAGTCACGCAAAACCTGTCGCGAGGAAATTATATTAAAAGTGAAAGAGAAAGAGAGAGAGAGAGAGAGAGAGAGAGAGAGAGAGAGCACGTGATGCGTTGTAAAAAAGAAAAAAAAAAAGAAAAATGAGAAATAGAAAAAAAGATAGAAAATCTGTGCATTTCCTCGCGAGCATTGTACAAAACTTATATATATAAAAGAAAAAAAAAGAAAAGAAAAGAAAAAAAATACAAAACAAAAAACAAAAAACAAAATAGGAAACAGATGGATAAACTAAACAAACAATTACGATGATAAAAAAGCGTACGCCACGTTAACTTTTTTGCGCCTTGCCTCCTCGCCCCGTCGGATATTAATTATTGTGATATTTTATTGATAATACGTAATGATAGTCCAGCTAATTATCCTTGTATTATTATTATTATTATTATTATTATTATTATTATTATTATTATTATTATTAATATTATTATTATTAATATTATTATTATTATTATTATTGTAAATTATGGTTTTTTTTACTATGGAAAAGAAAAAAGAAAACAGTCGAGTGCGCATTCGATAAACACAGAGACTCGCGTATTGTATTATAAATAATAGCCAAAATTTTGTCCTTCTTTATCTTTCATCCCCCACTCACCCCTTTGTCTCCCATTCATCCCTTTCTTTCTCCCTATTTACTCTTTCTCTACACTCCATTTTTGTAATTTATCAAAAATCGACATTTCGTTGGGTTCCTTTTTTTCCTTCTCACTTTCTTGTCTTTTTTTCTTTTATTTTCTCTCTCTCTCTCTCTCTCTCCTGTTTTTTTCTTCCCTTCTTTTCTTACTTCCTTTCCATCCTCCTCCTTATCACCCTCCTCACACAGACTTTTTCTGTTCTTCGCGAGATGGATGTAAAACTTCCATAAATATGTGCTGATAATAACACATTTGAAAATCAATCTCGTTCCGTTGCTTGTCTACTTTCTAAACCTTTCCTTCT